TCTCCAGAATGCAAATTCCTGAGGCCAAAGACTATTCATTTTGTTCATTTTGCTAATATAGTTTATAAATGTGGATAGTCAGGTTCTTTTCATTTTGTTTCTCTGTTCCAGATCTTTGATTTTATTGAACTTTTACAATGTTACTTAAAACATTGCTGTTTTCAGACAGGTTGCATTAGCGTATAATCAAATTCCATCCACAATATCAAAACACTATCACAAATTTAAAAAAGTAAAAATAGCATTTAATAATAACATAGTTCTAAAGCTCATTATTGGATTTGGAAAACTTTACCAGTGTAAGCTTTTGTATAAAAGTAAGGCTTGGTAAACTGATTCTTAGCATAAATATTTTTTCATAATATTCTTAATTATTTTTAATGTGTATATGTGAGATGTTTTATTTTGCATTTTTAAGGTTGTAACTACTTGCTGTAGTTATAAATGAATGATCAGCACACATCTTCTATGATAACCTTTCAACTTTATTAATATTAATATTTTTATGTAGTTTTATTATGGCTTTCTTCTGATTAGAATTTAATATAGAGAGGTTTTATTCATGTGAGTATTAATGACATTTTGAATAAGCTATGGGAGAATTACAATGTAACACTGCTGGATACAGAATGATTCTTTGAGACACCAAGACTAATAATTTTTAACAATATCTAAAAACATTGTAGGAAAAGCTTGAACCATGCTGGCACCAGGGACAGACAGGCATGAAAGATTAATGTAATCTTGCATATAATGACACACATTCTTACACAAAAAATCCATCTGCAATGTCATGTCAGTCAGCAGAAATCTTTGATGGGTGGATACAGCTGGGCTGTCTCTTCTGGCAGAGCTGCCCTGGAAAATGCTAAATGTGGTTGTGATGCTTGGTGCCATCTGCAGTGTGCCCATTTATCCTGTCTTCACTGGCATTTACAATACTGCATAGGGCATCAGTGACTGTGGAGACAGAGATATGGAGTGACAGATTCATTTCCTCGGAGGGTCTGAGCTCTGGTGGGCCAGTGTGCCACCCTCCTTCTTGGGTCTGGGTCTCCTATAATTGGTGTTGGCTTTACTTTGTATTTTCACATCCAACTCTTCCTCTTTTTAGTCTAACAGTTTCAGTACACATTCTTCTGGTTTGTAAGTCTTACACTAACCTTTCGACTAATTTATTCATGTAAGGTTGCCAAACTGATTTAACATTGACTGTTTGATGCCAGCTAATATGCTTTATTTTGAAAATACTGCTCCTCCTAAGCCTCTGATTTAAGGGACATGTGTCTTATTTAGAGAATACTAAACAGGCACCAGGATAAATTCTGTAACCACTATGCGTGGGATATTCCCAAATGACTTATGTAGTTGAAACAAATATATGACCTTCTTTTACATAAAGCTATGAAACACATCAGGCCACTAACACTTAGTCCTCTTGCCCATGATTAAAATATAAATATTCAAGAATAAATGTTGTTTTATGACTCGACCATATGTTTATTATATTATTTTGCCAGAACAAGTTAAAAAGTGTAGATCATTGTTTAAAACTTTCACTTTGTCTATGTGTGTGTGTTTTTTTTAATAGTAATGGAATATGAAGGGCACGCTCTGTCACTGCTTAAGGAATGTGAACTCCAGGGATTTGATGGGTAGGTTATATTATTAATATATATCATGTCATTTATGTATTAAATGCCTTCAGTAGTTTTAGCCACGTATTTGGAACTAACATTTAAAAATATTTGTAATGTATGTACTCTGGCTTTATCTTGTTCATAATAATTAATGATAATATGTCATCTCTCAGGATCTGGCATAGGAAAGCAAAGAGAGGAATCTAATTATAAATACTGGGAAATGACAGTGTACTACCCTATACTTATTAATGTGGGTCCATTTGCATCTCTAATTATTGGCTTTTACCATGTATCTAGAAAAGTACTGATGGAAGATGTTATTACTGGTCACATGGCATAACTATATGATGATCCTCTTTTACAAATTAGTTGATAGGTTTAATAGCTACCCATTGGTTAATTTGTGATAGATTGAAGGAAGATATTTTATAAATACAAGTAAATAAATACATTATTTTCAGAAAGAATAAGAAAGAATTTTAATTATCTCATAATGTAGTGACTACAATATAGGTATGTTATTCACAGTGGGCATTGGAA